TGGCTATGAGCAGCCAATCAATTGAAGGGATGCTTCCTTGGGGGTGTGGCCTGTTCCCAACATAATAGAAGCGCAGGAAAGGCTCATTGGGGACTTGGGATGCTACAATTGTAAGCTGTTTCCCTGGTAATAAACTTGTTGTATACGTACATACATGTTTCACTGGTTTTGCTTCTCAAGAAAACCCAGCTAAGGCCTCTTGTTTCCACCTCAAACATCTATTTTAGAAGTTTTCTTCACCCCGCACAGCAGCTTGGAATACACTAAGCAGTAGCAAGCCGCTTCCCCTCTGACCATTAAAAACACTTTCTCTGTTCTAGTCCCCTGTAAGTTGTTATGAGGCGAACACCTTTAACTCCACGTTTGCACCCTACAGGGAGGGCTTCCCCAGCAACCTTAGCGGAATCCCCATCCTGGATTCTAATTCGCCTCGTGCAGGTCACATGCTGATTGCTGAATCCCTCACTGTAGCGTGGGTTCTCTCAGTGAGTCACCAACTTGTTACAACGTGGATGTGAGGTCGGTCGATTTTGAATTATTTTGTCCAGTTTGACTAGAGGGCCAACTTCCTAAAGGAACCTCACAGTGTCATTCCTAAAGGTAGGAGGAGGGGATGACAGAAACAGAAGCAACAAGATGAAGGCACACCCTGTGAAGAAGGGTCTCAAGTCTCCAATTTCACCGGAGAAGAAACAGGACGAGGAAGACAAATGTCTTGAAAAGATTCATGGTGGAGTTTAGAATCGTTTCCATTTTGAGACACCGCAATAGGCAACGTTCACAATAATTACCTCAGGTGAGCCCTCTTCATGGTCCACTTCCCTCATTGTCCTTTATCCTGGGACAGAGATCAGGATGAGAAATAAGGAGTAATTCCTCTCTTTTGTGTTCTTTTATCAAAATGAAAAAGCAAGACTCCTCAAAACCACACTCCTGTAGTGACCAAATGTGTGTTGTATTAACGGTAAATTCTGCTCACTGTCATCTTCAACAGCATGTTGAATTTCCACCAGCTGCTCCTGGGAAACCCTGTACAGGGTCGCTATGAGTCGCAACCCACTCAACGGCACTTAAGGACAACAACAACGTGCTGTAAATGCGTAAAAGCATGTCTTCGGCATTTGAGGGGCCGGGAATCCTGCTTGTGTTATCCATGAACATAGTCTAACACTTTGATCTCATCTTTGTCTTAGTCTCCCAGAGATTGTTCATACCAGTCTCTCTCCACTTTTACAGGGAAAGCAAACAGAAGGCCTGTACAGTTCCATCGGTTGTCTTGAATTCGTTGACTTTTATTGAACACCCACCTAGAAAACACATTATTTCTAAATACTTAATACGAAACCGTACTGTTGTTAAGTGCCATTGAGTCGGTTCTGACTCATAGTGACTGTACAGGGTTTCCAAGTAGCAGCTGGTGGGTTTGAACCACCAGTGTTGTGGTTTGTAGCCCAGTGCTGATCCCACAGAGCCACACCGGGAAGTACACGTTTTCAATGCAGAATCAAATGAATAAGAATAATTGATGCCCCCTGGAGGAGTTACCCAGTAGCAACAAAAGCCAAATTTGAAGAATGTAGGAGTAAGCTATCGGTCAGATACAGAATCAAGAAAACAATGTTGAAGGAGTGAGCCACCGGTCATATATGGGGAAAACAACAACAACGTGGTGGTTCAAGATGCTACACCATGAGGCCTAGGGTTAGCTTTCTAAATTCAGTTTCTAGCAGCTTCACGTTAGACTGGTACTGTGGGTAACGCACTAGACCACAGTCGTTTTGAGGTGCAGGGTTGGCGGTTCACACCAGCGGCTCCTTGGGAACCCTATGCCGGATCGCCGAGTCCGAGCTGACTTGATGGCATGTTGGATGTCTAAATGTAGATGAGTTCAGGAGCATTCTTTGTGGAATGTTCAGTCCTTGAATCCCAGACTAAAGACCACTGAATCCTCTCACTTGAATGTCACGTGGCTAAACCAGGGGTCTGGTCCTCTTGCGGATGTTGATTTGGTAACGGGACATGACTTGAGATTTTACGTTATGAACAAACAGCTACTTTGTTCTGAAAATCAGTATAGAAATAAGGTTCTGAATTCAATTAGGGAATGATGAGAAAATAACAGAAGAAACTGCTGACAGGTTGACACTGGAAATCACAGGTGAGAAAATCATTTACACGGAGGGAGACCAAGAAAGGGAAGGCTGCGGGTCGGTTTGGACGGGAAGCAGGGTGAAAAGGCAGGGGGACAGAGGTGAGTTCCTGATTTAGTACTTGATCAGTTGACTCCATGTTTGAAAGACAAAGGGGTCAGCAAGCCTCCCAGATTTCTCAAAAGCCTAGGTGCTATGGGTGTCCTGGTTTGAGAATGAAGACGAGAGAAACTAAACCCAGGAAGAAGAAAGGAATGTTAGTTCTAAAAGCTATAGGGAAAGTATTGATCACATGTTAGCACTGACGTGTCGGTTCCAACTCATAGCAGCCCTGTGTAGCGTTTCCGAGGTTTTAAACCTTTGCGGATGCAGAAAGTCAAGTTTTCCATGGAGCGGCTGGTGGGCTCAAATTTGAGGGTTGCAGGCCAGTGCTTATCATATGGGACCACCATGCTTTTGACCAAATATAACCATGCTATAAGCAGAATGAACATTTTCATAAAAACGTAATTGTTAAAAGTGCCGTTGAGTCGATTCCAACCCATAGCGACCCTGTGTATGAGGTTTCCAAGGAGCAAATGGTGAGCTTGAACCGCCGAACTTGTGATTCAAAGCAACTTTGCAATCCAATGCATTAACCCACAGCACCACACTAGGACTCCTTAAAAGTAATGTTAAGTGCCTTCGAGTCGGTTCCGACCCATAGCGACCCTGTATAGGGTTTCCGAGGAGCAGCTGGTTATCTTGAACTGCCAACCTTGCAGTTCAAACGGCTTTGCAGTCTGTCGCATTAACCCACAGCACCACACCAGGACTCCAGAAGTTATAAATGTTATTGTTATGTGCTGTGGAGTCGGTTCCAACCCATAGTGACCCTGTACAGGGTTTCCGAGGCTGTAAATCTTTATGGGAGCAGAAAGCCTCATCTTTCTCCCATGGAACAGCTGGTAGTTTCGATCCGTTGACCTTGCGGTTCACAGTCTGATTCGTAACCACTGATAGTACGCTAATAGTACCTAGTTAAAAATAAACCATAATGCATTAATTGAGACTATTTGACAAATGACATTCTTCCTGAAACTTCATCAATGCTCATAATAAACTACAGACAGCACAGTCGCACCATAGAATCAGCACTAATTCTTGGAACAAGGTCAGGGGTTCGAGCCCACCTGCCACTCCGCCGGAGAAAGATGAAACTGCCTTTTAAAATCTTTTAAAAAGATTCCAGCGTGGGGCAGCTACGAGTCAGAACTGACTCAATGGCACTTCACAATATCACTTTCATAACAGTGTGTGTTCATCTGTAACGAACAAAATGAACACAGGTGAACCTAAGACTTCAATCTTGGACCCCTGACGCCACAGAGGAAGCCAGGTTCAAGTTGGGAAGGTTGACCAGCTGTGGTGGGTTCTCCTGCTCTGGGGTGAATGGCTGCCTGCAGCAGTGATCTGGTTGGCATGGAGAACAGCATGAAGACTGCAGGGCCTGCTCTGGAGGTGGGAGTCTTTTCTGCCTTGACAGGAACATCATCTTGAGACTGAGGACAAAGTCCTGCCAATCCCTGCTTCGTCAGCACGGTCTCCTCCACTCAGCTCTCAAGTGTGGTGCATGGGGAGTCCATCCAGTCCAGGCAGCTGGGCGCCTCCCATGTTCCTCTCACATCCAGAAATCAAAAAGGGTCCCAACTGCTCGGATAGGGGTGCAGACCAAATGCTATCATCTGCATCCACCTACCTACTCTTCTACACTTTTCTTCTTGAAGAGGCTTTCTTTAAAAAAAAAAGAAAACAAAAAACCGAACAGGTTTAGTTGTGAACTGAGTGATGTATACATGGGAGAACATGGGCTTTACATCATCATTTCACTGCAATGATTACAATGTCTGTGTGTCATCATTCAACACTAATTTGCTTCCATCCCCTCTGGGGTTTTTTTTGGTGGGGGGATGTACACAAAACCACTCAGGATTATATAACGATTTACACCACCAAAAGGCACATTCTGCAAGCCTGCCTCCTGGCTGCCAGCTCTCAGTCCCTCTCTTTCCATGACTCTAGAGTCCTCAGCTGCTCCCTCTCTCCATGTCCTCATCTCTGTCTCCATCTCTGGTGTCGCTGCTACTCTGGATACAGTCCGACATTCTGCTCCTGCTCTTCTCCCTTGATGGTCCTAAGGTCCCCTGTTCCTGGACTGTAAGATGAACTACTCCCTTATGTTTGTTAGAAAACTTTTACCATTACAGTTGTGACCATGGCAATTACTCATAATAACATGGTATGGCTTTTCTAATTTTTTTTCAGTTGCGTAATTGTTAGTATAGAGGAATCTGACTTTTTTTTTGGACTGCTTTTTGTATGTTGTGTGTACCCTGCAATGTCGCTGAATCTTCCAATGAATTCTAGAACTTTTTTTTTTTTTTTTGCTGAGTGGGCTTTTCTATGTATGAGAACATATATCATCTACAAATAGAGTTTTAGTTCTTTATTACTTTGAAAGCCTTTCATTTGTTTGTGTTGCCTTATAACTTTAAGACTTCCAACACAATATATACCAAGTTAATTGCAATAAAAAATGAGCCAGAGTGGCAACACTAATCTCTGATAAAATAAACTTTAAGGCAAAAACCATCATAAGACATAAAGGACATTGTCTGATGTTTAAAGGGTCAATTGAACAAGATGACCTAACCATAATAAATAAATACACTCCCAATGAAAGAGCTCCAAAATATAAAGCAAACGAATAGATACAAAGAAAAAAAAATACAAATCTCTAACAATAGTGGGAGATTTTAATACACCACTTTACAAAAAGGACAGAACAATGAAAAAAAGTCATCTAAGACAGGAACTAAACAACGCAATCAGCCCACTGGACCTCATAGATGTGTACAGAGTGTCCAATCAACAACAGCACAATACACATTGTTTTCCAGTGCACCTGGAACATTCTCCGGAACAGACCGTGTGTGTTAGGCCACAAAACAAGCCTCCATCATTTACAAACATCAAAATACTAGGAAGCATCTTCCAGTCCACATGCTGTCGAATTAGAAATGAACACTAGGAAGACCACGGAAATAAAGTCAAATACATGGAAACTTGACGGATCATGACAAGCTATGGACAGCATCGCAAAGGATGAGTATTCCAGAACACTTAATTGTGCTCATGAGCAATCTGCACCTAGACCAAGAGGCAGGTGTTTGAACAGAACATGGGAACACTGAATGTTTAAAATGAAGAAAGGTGTGCAACAAGGTTGTATTCTTTCACCATATTTATTCAAGCTGTATGGTGAGCAAATAACATATCAGGAGCCTTGTCGTGGAACTATATGATAGGCACTGGACTGCTAACTGTAAAATCAGCAGGTCAAACCCACCAGCCGTTCCTTGGAAATCCTATACAGTAAGATTGGGGAACCTTCTTTTTCTGCCAAAACTTATAACGTCAACTTAAAAATTAGCCTGGTATATGTGGCCAAATATTTAATTAACTCCTTGGAGGCCAGGATGGCCAAACTTGGTTTCTCATACCAACTGCACAATACTTTCACAACAAAAGTGTTCTCAGACAAGAGTAAAATCTCTTTCGAATGTTCATTTGCTGCCTCTGAGGACTGGTTTCTTCCTGTCTTCCTGGAACTCTCCCCTCTGCACGCGAGGAAATTACACTGGGTTTGTTCAGTTTGTGATCTGCTTCCAGGGATATGTATTACACAGACACCAAACTGGAGATGTTAACTGTTGTAATGATGGGGAAAATATGGAGAAGCAAAGGAAAGATTGCTCTAACGAACGTGGTGAAAGTATTTTAAACGGTCCAATATGCAAACTCCCAGATTGACAGTTCGCAACAGAGGCACAAAGAGGAACCACTGAATCACGGTCACCAGTGAGAACCCTCTAGGTTTCTGCACAGAGCCTTTCTCCCGCTGCACCAAACGGCAGAGAAGCCGGAAGCGGAAGCTCGCGTTTTTGTTTGGCCGCCGGGTTGAACTGGCTCCTGCTCCAGTGAGAGGTACGTCCTGTGTCTCCTGTCGTCCCGGTCCCCTCGCAGGTGCCTCGCAGGCTCCTGCCCCAGGTCCGAGGGCGCTGCTCACACTCTCCCGTGCGCCCTCATCTATCCGCCCTCCCGGGGCCTCCGGGCCGCCTATTCCTGGGGAGGCGCGGGGGGCGGGGGGGCGAGCTGTGCGTGTCGGTGCGTCCCCACGTCACGTGGCGTGCGTCCCCCGTGAGCACAGTGCGTGTCTCAGGCCCGCGGCGTCTGCTTCCCCGGGAATGGGTGTGTGGGAAATACAGTTAAGGCTGCCCGGCCGCCCGCGCTTGGTAACAGGGGTTCCTAGTGTACCCCGTCCCCGCGCTCTTCTGTCTGCCCAGCACCCAGTGTTCCGTTTCTTTTCTGTTTTACTTTCCCGCGTCTGACACATTGAACTCACATACACACACATGCATGTGCGCTCTTTTCCAGTGATTGGAGCTCTCCCCTGGCCCCGCCCCCAGCAGTCAGAACGTCCCACTGGCCCCGGCCTAATGTCATGTGACTCCTGCCTGCTCCAGCCACAGGCAGTCACGTGAGCTCACGCCTGGCCACTCTGTCTGGCGTCTGCTTTGGGAGGATGCCTGACCTTTCACACGCCCCTCTTCCTGCAGCAGCGCCTTCACTGAGGGGCGCACAGAGCCTGTCCCTGAGCTCTTGTTGCTGGAAGCCGGCCTGCAGGAGGAAATGCCGATGGAGTACGGATCTCTCCTCTCATCCACCAGACGCATTAGGGACAGAGTCCCTGGAACCACACAGCCAGAGACACAGCTTTTAAAATCTGAACAAGTCTCCATTGGGCCTTGCCTTCCCAGCTAGGAGGTGTCACCTGCCTCACTTCATTCTTGTTACGTGCCATCTAGTAGGTTCTGACGTGTAGCTATCCAGTGTAAGGTTTCTGAGGTGTGGCGGGTGAGCTTGAACCGCCAACCTTGCAGTTCATTATAGTAGCCCACAGCGCCACCAGGACTACATATTACAGGGTCACTATTGTGTGAGACTTATGGGAGAGTGGTGTGTCTTACAGGCATTTATCAGCAGCTAACTGGAGCTCTGGTAGCGTAGTGGTTACGAATCGGCCTGTGAACCGCAAGGTCAGCAGTTGGAAACTACCAGCTGCTCCGCGGGAGAAAGATGAGGCTTTCTGCTCCCATAAAGGTTTACAGCCTCGGAAACCCTGTACAGGGTCTCTATGGGTCGGAGCCGACTCGACGGCACTTAACAACAACAACATTGTATCAGAACTTAATCGACAGGACGCAACAACGTCAACATTTGTTAAAGTTGTTAAAGAAGGATTTTTTACTCAGTATTGATGTTAAATGCCATTGAGTCCCTTAAAACCCATAGGGATCCTGTGTAGGATTTCCAAGGAGTGGCTGGTGAGCTTGAACTGCTAACTTTGCAGTTCAAACAAGTTTTGCAGTCTGGCGCATTAACCCACAGCACCACCCAGGGCTCCACAGCTATTCCTTGTTGTTGTTGTTGTTAGGTGCCGTTGAGTCGGTTCGACTCAGCAACCCTGTACAGGGTTTCCAAGGCTGTAAATCTTTACAGGAGCTGAAAGCCTCATCTTCCGCAGAAGAGCTGGTAGTTTCGTACTGCTTAGGTGAGGGCAAAGTCCAGGAGAAGCAGTCTGAGCGCTGCAGTATGAAAGCAGTGTCTGAGTTTCCTGATAGTTAGTTAGTCTCTTGTATAATCCCCATCAGCCTTAGAAGGCAGAGTGCAACAGTGTAAACCACAGTATCAACCCCAGAACCCACATAATCCACATCTTTGACACTGGCCAGCAAATTCCGACACATTCAGGCTCATGCATACATAGCTCTCTGACTGAAGTTTAAAGCATCTTCCCATCTGATGAACTCTTGACACTTTTTTTTTTTTTAACATGTTTTCAAAGATATAAATATTTCTCTTTCAGCATTTGCATCAGATATTCATTTTACTGAGGAGAACTTTTGAACCCTAGGAATTTGAATTTTTTTGGAATTCCGGTCTCGCTTCAAGTCTTAACTCCTCAGTGTCCCTGTTGTTCCCTCAGTAACTCCCACTTACTTCGATGTTTGTGTATTATTGCATGTTTCACAAATAGACGTTTTAAGTTGACCAATAATCATCATGGAAATACAAGCAAATTATGTGGAACGTTGCCTTTGGTTTGAACAGTTCTGTTTTCCTATGTGACAGGCTTTGAACAAACTAAAAATTATTGAAGTCTGCATCGGGCTGAGCTCTCTGTTGTGGGGACCAGTTCGCGTTCTGGTGACTACACTACTCTTGAGAGATCCACTAGTCAGATATTTCCATTTCAACCCCTTATTGTCCATTAAAACAGAAAAGCTTCAGTCCCTTCGTTGAACGAGTCTGATGTTCCATACTTAATTGGCACGTGAGCTACACTGCCGGACTGTGAGGACTCAAACAGAACTTATGTCCATTCATAGAAAGTCCCAGTGGAGAGTCCTGTTCAAGACAGTATCCAGCAGGTGATAAACTGTGTCTGTCCTCAGTGGTGAATGTCATAGGCTTGAAGCAATAAGCAAACACAACACAGAGTGCGTGACTGTAGGTTTATAGTGTGTTGTTGTTAAGTGCTATTGTGTCGGCTCTTACTCAGCGATCCTTTATAGGGTTTCCAAGGCTTCAAATCTTTGTGGAAGCAGAAAGCCACGTCTTTCTCCCACACAGCAGCTGGATGGCTGAAGCCACCTACCTACCTTGTGGTTTACAGTTCAGTGCTTATCTTATGCAGCTAAATCATATTTTCAAGGACCTGTGCTATTGGGAATAAAAGGACCTCACCGGACAGGTTGGAGTGCGTGAAAAGGAAAATCATTAAAGGGGAGATTCAGGAAATTTATTCTTTTTTTTGTGAGACTTGAGTAAAAGTTTACAGGGCAGATCATCAGTTTTACATTCAGCAAATCATATACTTTGTTTCATTATACTGGTTATAATCTCCTCCATGTACCAACAGTTAACAATATTTCTCTCCATTCATTTTAGCTCTTTTTTTAAAACACTCAGGCATATATAATTTACACCACCAAAAGGCACGTTCTGCAAGCCTGCTTCCTGGCCACCAGCTCTTTCCATGAGTCTAGAGTCCTCAGCTGCTCCCTCTCTCTATGGTGTCGCTGCTTCTCTGGATAAGGGAAATCTGTTGTTTTTAACGACACAGTTGTATAGGCCGAGGGCATGGGGTGTGGATTACTGTGGAAAGAGTTTACCACTCGGGAAAAAGGGTGTCAGTCCCTGAGTCAGCAGAAAACACCCTGTGTCGTCCAGTCCTTGGTGAGACTTGGAGATGATCGAAGCAGAGAAACTGTGCCCCTGGGGGTTTGTGTGAGCCCAATTGGAAGGGACCTGCATACTAAGTCCCGAAGACTCTCCAGGAAGAGCTCAATGGGAGGTAATGAAGGGAGACATTGAGGAGGCCGAGATGTGGCCGAAAGTTCACAGGACATCCATCCATGAAGTTCCCATTCCTTGTACTGGCTTCTCATATTTCCACATCAATGTGGATAAATCGGGGCGCTCGCTTACATGCAGATTTTGTTCCAGTGATTCTGGGGTGAGACTTGAGACACTACATGATGAATTAGCTCCTGGTTTGTGTTGGAAATCATACCTTTAGAAGGATGTGAACTAAAAACAGAGAGTTCTGTTAGAGTAAGTAATAAAAGGCAGGGTCATGTTTACAGGGGAGACACCGATGTAATGATCTGCGAGAGAGGCCGTTGGTACTGAGACCCAGGAAAGATAGAACAAGAGTCAGTTTAGAGAAGAAACGTGGTTGAACATGACAAGAGGAGACAGCTCCTTAGAAAAACTCATTTTCCAATTTATTTGTTGATTCATTTATCCTAAAGTTGGATGACGAAGTGTTTAGAACCTCCTGCAGGTTTTTCTAGAGTTGAAGGAGTGGTGGTGGTAAGGTTTCAGAGCAAAGAGGGAAAGAAAAGGAAAAAAAGCGAACAAAGAAAGAAATGTACATTCCAAAACAACGGGAAAATGACCACATATTAAAAAGGTCTGTGTGGAATAAGGAAAGAAACTAATGCACAGTGGGAAGGGTTCAACTGCACATAATTCAAAATGAATGAACTGTGATGAGTATATTGAGAAAACAGGAAAACTCTGTCTTTCCTGGAAATTCACCCATGCTAGTCCTGGTGTGGCGCTGTGTGTTCATGCATCAGACTGCAAAGCCATCTGGACTGCAAGGTCGGTGGTTCAAGCTCACCTGCTGCTCCTTGGAAACCCTATACAGAGTTGCTATGGGTCAGAATCGACTCAATGGCACTTAACAAGAAAGTTTCCTGTAACGGTTTTCTGTATCAGGGACACAGTTATGTACGTGGACCCACACCTTCAGCCTTAGACCCCTGGCTCCCTGGAAGGATTCGGGTCTACATTTTGCACCCTGATATACGCTGGTTGCTTGTCCTGCTTCGGGCTATGTCAATTCCCCGCTGTGGCATCTTGTTGCCAGAGAGCAGAGGCGTCTGGAGCCACAGGAAGTGCCTAGGGCTGTGCTCTGCAGTCCGGAGCCTGTTCTTCCTTCAATGACATCTCCTCAGGGTGCAGCCTGGTCCTGAGCCTAGGAGGATGCCACAATCCTGTCAGTCCCTGCTTACTCAACCCTGTCTCCTCCCCTCTTCCTTCCATTCCCGGTCCCTAGTGTGGTGCCGGGAGAGCCAGTCCAGTCCAGTCCAGGCAGCTGGGGACCTTGGGTGACCATGTCACACACCCGTAAATCACAAAGATAGATTCTAAGAGCTCTCTCTGGTGTGTGGCGCAAACATGGTTCATCTGCCCCCAAACTGCCCAGTGCTCTGTGTGCGCTTCTGGCCTTCATCCTAACATGACTTCTTGGGCGTAGAGACGACATTCCTTTAGACTTCTAGAAGCTGCAGCCATCCTCCTTTCATTCCAGGCCCTAAGTGTGACCGGGAGAACCAGTCCAGTCCAGGCAGCCAGGCACCTGGGGCATCCATTTGTCAGATCCCTAATCAGGAAGCAAGATTTCAGCTGCTGGGACGGGAGTGTGGAGCGAATCTTTGTCGTTCAGCTGCCTCCAGACCACCCAGGGGGCCAGCCGTCTCCACTGGCGTCAACGCTCTTCCTCACCTGGATTATTGGGTGTAGAGACGAAATTCTCCTTGACTTCCTGCAACTGGATCCAGGAAATGGTGAGTTGTGCGTAGAACCCGGAGTCCTGGGGTGGTCCTGTGGGATAAGCCCTGAATCACAGGTCTGTTTGGATCACAAGGTCGACACGGTTCAAACCCACCAACCACTCCTTGGAAGCCCTATGGAGGGTTGCTACGAGTCGGAACTGACTCCACTGTACTAACAACAGAATGGTTTTTGTTTTTTTAGTTGTGAATTGAGTGACTGTTTTTAGAGCTGATCATCAGTTTTACATTTGAAACATTGTATCCACCATTTGAATGTCTTTCTCTCAGTTAACATTGCTTCTCGCTTCACCCGCTTTTTCCTAGTGTTTCCTTGTATCCGTTTCTCCATGTCCGGTTCTTGTAGGTTTTGTCTTTAGATAAATGCTGCCCTTTTGATCTCAACTGGTTGATCCTTCTGTGGTGTGTGTTTACCACACACTAGTTTTCTTGTCTCTCCCCGTCCGCCTTCTGTTGCTTGTCTGAAAATTGAAGCCTGGGGATGAGTTCAGCTTCAGACCTGACATGTGACTGAGTCTCTCTCTGACCAGTGTGATTTTGGATTTTGTCCCACATTTTCTTCTATTCTGCTCAGGCCCTTGTCAGGTGACCCCTTCCACAGTTGTTGGTAATAATGCTTGTGCACAATTTCGTTTTCCTGGTCTCAGGATCATGGAGACTGGTGTTGAGAACCGAGTGCTCTGTACCACAGCGGGCAGAGGCAGGATGGGAATTGGGGGACCACCTGGTCTGTGCGTCGGTGGTTCTTTAGTGACCGGAAAATGTATCCCAGGAGGCTCCCTGCAGTCCTGCGTGGACTCCAGGTTTAGACACCGAGGGCCTCCTTCCTTATGTGACTCTGTGGACTGAATGTCTCCCCCAGGTCTGGGTGTTCTGTCTGACGGAGGAGCTCCTGACCTGAGCCTGCAGGCCGACTAGCTGTGGGTGGGGGGCTCCTTGTGTGCTGTGTGTGCGCCCCGAGTGCTCTGAGCCCCTGCTTCCTTCGTTGCTTGTCTGAGTTCGAGCCCTGACCTCCACAGCCATCCTTGTCCCAGCTCTGTGGCCTGAGCTGCCCCCTCCTCCCAGGCGCGGGTGTATTCTCTGTGCACTTCTGAAACGAAGTGTGCCCCCCTCACACACTGCGTTATGGGCTGTAGGGGGGCAGGGAGAGAGGTCTCAGGAAGGCCCTGGGTGGACCTGGTTTTCCCCTGCCATCTCTGAATGCATGATGCTGAGGACAGGGCATCGAATAGGGGCTCTGCACCTGTATTTCCCCCATTTCCATTAGGGTCTTAAAATGATTACGTTTAAAATGACGTGATTGTCAGCAATGTGAATTCCTAGTGAAAACACTTAATTCTCATTTGACTTTTATCGTGTTTAATAAAACAATGTGGTGTACTAAAACTCAGTCCGAAGCTGAGGCTGGACTTTATATTTTATGGCAGAACTGACAGCGAGAGCGTCCAACAGAGCGGGGGCCTTCCGGGCCTGGACCTGAGTCCCTTCAGGCAGGATGATTGCTTTCAGAAGGGGCTGCCTGCAGACGTTCCATCGATGGGCAGCCAAGTTTGCGGAACCCCAGAATTAGAGTCCATCTCCTTTTGGTTATGGCGGAAGGTGCACGGGCATGTCCTTTAGGCATGTTATTGCTGTTGTTAAGTACCTTCCAGTCGGTTCTGACTCGTCGTGTCCCTGCATAGGGTTTCTGAGGAGCAGTTGGTGAGTTTGAACTGCCTGCCTCGTGGTCCAGTGCTGACCCTACGGAACCACACCAGAACACCTTAGGTGTGTTGTTGTTCAGTGCTGTGGCGCCAGTTCTGACTCATAGCAACCCTGGGTGGGGTTTCCAAGGAGCGGCTGGTGGGTTTGAACTGCCAACCTTGTGGTTAGCAGTCAAATACTGATCCTACACCCCACACCAGAAATATTGTTATTGTTAACTCCCCTTGAGTTGGTTCTGACCCAGAACAACCCTGTATGGGGTTTTCAAGGAGCGGCTGGTGGGTTTGACCCACTGACCTTGCAGTTCACACTAGCCTTGTGGTCCAGCACAGTGACCCCCAGCAGGACTCCTAGTTGCCCCGGAAACACACCTTGTGACATTTTCTGATCAGGGTAGAGCCCAAGGGCTGTGTGACTGAGAAGCCACGGACCAGAGAGGCCAGTCCGCAGGCACAGGTAGGAAGGGGCTGTCATCACCAGACAAATGTCTGTTGAGCTTGTGCCAACTTCCCTAATAAACCCCGTAATTGTGGAAAAAATATTATCTACCTTATGAAGACTTCCTCCTACGCTTGTCTTTAAGCAACGCTCCCTCTTCCGCAGTCTCCGTGTAATCACCAGCTGGGTTAGGGTCTGAAGTATCTGAGCAGGGTTTAGGGGAAGTCAGCTAATAGGAATAGACTTGGTTTTGTTTTTTACTTTCCCCTAGTTTGTTATTCAAAGTAATGCTCGGATTCTGCATTTCGGTTTTTTTAGTAAACAAACTGTCCTGGTAACCCTTGCATAGTGCGATCTGCACAACATAATTCTCAATTCTTTTACAATATTGGAGTCCTGGTGTGGTTCAGCAGGATAAAGCGTTCGACCGCAGGATTGGTTTCAGTAGCAAGGTTGGCGGTTCAAACTCACCATCCACTCCTTGAAAACCCTAAACAGGGTCGCTATGAGTCGGAACCGACCCCATGAAACTTAACAACCACATAGAGCTAGCTATAACTGGGATGATAAGATTTTAATCATATATGAAAACCACATTTCTTTGGCGCTTTAAAACTGCATTGTGTGAAATGACTCATGAACAAGTACGTGGTACATAAGTGTTTCCCGTATTACTTGAATAGTAATGTGAGTTATTGATGACACCGAGACCTCGGTTAGGTTTGATGGCCTGTTAGTATGTTCCGTTCGGAAAGCAGCTCCTGCCTACAGACTGTGACTTTGTGCTGTTAGGAGGTTTTATCTGTTATCAATAAGGTTGCTGTAACTATAAAAACTCTACAGTGTTTATACTTTGCCAGTTTTGAACTTGACTCCTGGTGTGGCACTGTAGGACCACGCTAGACTGCGAACCACAAGGTCGGCAGTTCAAACCCACAAACTGCTCCTTCGAAGCCCTATACAGGGTCACTGTGAGTCGGAACCGAATCGACGACACTTAACAACATCTCAGAAGCCCCTCTCTCCTCACTGTATGAAGCTGCACTCTTACAAACGGGATCCCATTGTGGGGTTCAGGTAGCCCTGAACTTTTGCTTCCTGGGACTTCAGTTGTGGAGGAGCAGCCAGCATCTGTGTCTGTAGGCCAAGCCTCCTGGGCAGCTTAACAGAAAACCATCTGCCCTTCACCTCACTTGCAGAATTCACGCTTATGTGGGGTAGGTATGCGTGTGAGAAAGAAAACATTTGCCGATGGAACAACGTTGAGATATAAAACTTTGTCACATTGATCACGTCTTATCAGTTGCACAGTTACAAGAATTACAATCGCTTTTCAGTCAGTAAGCATACGGACAGGCAGCTCGTGTACCTGCAAATGTGGCCATCGGTCCTCTTATATCATGAGCACGTGCTTGGGTGACTACGTGTGTGTTTGTTGAGGGGGAAAAAGTCTCCCATACGTAATGCACAATTGCTGTGTGAACACGAGTGTGTTTGTTGAGGGGAAAAGTCTCCCATAAGTAATACACAATTGCTGTGTGAATATGGGTGTATTTGTTGAGGGAAAAGTCACCCGTACGTGGGGGACACGTGGTTGAGGTCTTGAAATTTGAGCATTGTGGGACGATCCTGAATGTCACATTCAAATATTTACCCTGGGCTCTTTTCAACATCTTTATTATTTTGTCCTGTCTCCACGAATGGGCCAGAAAGGATGACAGAATTGAGTTTAAGAAAAAAAGGTGACTGATCCATAAAAAATTCATAATTCTCCAAAGAACATTCTGTTTTCAGTCGGTAAGTCTATCACTTGGTGATCTCGTGGAATTCAAGAAAGTGCGACCACTCGGGGCCCCTTTTGTTTGTGTGGGTCCTCAGTCCTCCCTGGCTGTGAGGATGAAGAGGAAATGCGGCCTTTTCCCAGTCAGCACCTCAGGCTGCCTCCTCCCTGGGCTTTATTCTAATTGAGTGTTCTTGTGCATCTGACGGAAGGAGCTGAGGTTTTTGACAAGAACGTGATGACGTACATGAGCGTGCTGTGGCTGGTTGCTACTGCTTGCTCACTACTGTAGACCATAAGCAGATAAGAAGCCCACAGCTGTTCACAGGTGTAGTTTCAGTGTATTGCATGACCTGAGAGAAGTGGCTATCCCTGAAGAAGCCAGTGTCTGTAATGAACGATGGAGGACACTAGCTGGACCACAGAGTAGACCTGGACACAACACTGAACCTAGTGTCCTTGTATCAGACCCTTATGAATTCTGACTCCCCAAGACTGTCAGCAGGACCCTGTTTCTTGTGCACATTGGCGTACATGCTCCCTTGCTGATCTGGAATGTGTGGGGTGTTCTAGGACTCCGTGATCGTAGAGGATGTGGCGGTGGTCTTCACCCAGGAAGAGTGGGCTCTGCAGGAACTTGCTCAGAGAAAACTCTACAGAGACGTGATGATGGAAACCTTCAGAAACCTGGCTTCAGTCGGTAAGAATAACTTCATAGTTTTTAGGTTTTAAAAAGTCTTCACTGAACAACAATAGTTTACTTCATTGTCCTCAGTCTAGAATCTGTAGTGAGGACACAGGATTGCGTTGATAAATGTAACACATGTGCTCCCCTGATGTGTGGGCCTAAAAGGTCTTGGATTCTGTTTCCACCGATTGTCTGCGCGGGAGTATCAAGGTCCAAAGGACTTGGCTCCGTTCACGGTTCCTCTTTCTTGTTGGTCCTAGGATTGTCCATCTGTCTTTACTTCTAAGATGTTGTTAGGTGTTGTGGACTTGGTTCCGACTCAGAGACCTTGTATAGGGTTTCCCGAGGAACAGCTGATCAGTTTGAACCGCCAACCTTGTGGTTCAAACCGACCTTGTGGTACAGTCTGACCCTACGGTGCTATAGCTAGTGGTTTGGCAAAACTAACTGATCCCCACGGTAAAGTCTAGTGCACCCTATGTACAGGGTCCCAACCAGTAGTCACTGGGTGGGAGTTACAAAGACCACGGTTGATTGCTGTCATTTCCGACACATAGCGACCCTGAATGGGGTTTCCAAGGAGCAGCTGGTGAGCTTGAGCCGTCAACCTTGTGGTTCAAAGTGACTTTGCAGTCCAGCTCATGAATCTGCAGCTCCGCATTAGAACTCCCAAGACCACGGTCTTTGTAGGAGATGAGCCATACTTCACCGTGCCACAAGGGGTCACTGTAGGACACTGACAGGTGTCTGGTCTGGGAACTTGTGAGGAGTTTTTCACTGTTGAGTTCAAGTATAATTTGCTAGTCTTGCTGCAAACAAATCCGCACCTTTCCTCCGGAAAAATCTGTAAAGAGGAGAGCCCTGGCTGAACGTCAAGCAGCTGGTCATTCCTGTGCACTGCCCCTCCTCGTGATGTGCGTTTCACTGTGAGCACCGGGCCAGCTCTGCCCCTTGTCTTCCCGGAAGAAAGGGAAGATCTGTGGATACTGGAGCTCGGACACCTCCAGGCCCACTCATCGGGAGGCTTGGGGAAGCAGGGCGTTTTGTGGAACTGCAGCCTTCCTGGAGGAAACCAGGATTCAGGTTGTCACTTGAGTAAGTCACTCTTAGGCGTAGCTTCCTAGATGACAGCTGCTGATGGAGTTCTGCTGGGGCACTTATTTATAGGGCCAGCACTGGACTGCTAGATGCAAGGTCCGCACTTCAAACCCACCAGCAGCTTCGCGGAAACTATTCAGGTCGCTATCTGACGGAAACCACTGGACCGTGCTTAATAACGACATTTTCCTGTCAAAGTTGCGTTCTCAGGGCGCAGCCATTTTTCACAGCAGCCTTCCCCTCCCACCCCCCAGTAATCTCTCTTTTTGTTGTTTCATGTCGTGAACCTAAACTTGAATGATTGGATCAGTCTCTCAAAATCTTAACAATGAAGAAAAGTTGTCCGGTGAACACATAATGGTGAGATTGTTGAAGACTAATACCTGGTCCCCTATGTTAAGGGAAATCAGCAAATTACCTGGCTTGAAAGATGAGTACAAAACTCAGGCGACAAGTGTGAGGTGAGTATTATGCTAACGAACACACAGTGCACCTGGAGGAGACCCTAAGGTGTCAGGAGATTACGTGACAAATCTATGTTTACGTATGAATGCAGACCTCTGGACTGTTACCAGCCGTCTGAACTGTTTACGTACGCATATACCAGACCCCTGGATGGTTTACATATGCATATACCAGATGTCTGGACCGTTTACATATGTATACCAGACCCCTGGACTGTTTACA